CCCCAAAACCCCAAAACCCCAAAACCCCGTGATGAAATAATATGAGAGATATGATAGTTTATTAAATTAAATGAACTGTGTTAAATAGCTCTATAAAATTATAGAATATTTTAAGAAATTTAATGGGAGGAAAACAAGGCAAATCATCGAAACACAAAGGATAGGAGCTAGATTCAGTGCAAATGAAAGATGATTATGTTAAATTCATAAAAAGAGAATAAATAAGAAGAGAAAACGAGTTTAAGCAACGAGTTCATGACAAGGAGATAATCTACAATCAAGTAAAACAAATTTTCAAAAAGGATGAACAATCATTTTAAAACGAGGAAGGTAAACATTCCTATGGAAGATCCTAGACACCTAGAGTGGAAACAGCTCCTAAAAAAGGTAGTAAGATTTTCAAATAGGATGTCGCTGATAAGATTAAAAATGCTGGCTCAAAAACCCACCGCAAAAGCAGAAATATTGAAGGAAGAACAGGAACTGAAACAGATACAAGCATGAGCGGAGCCAATATAAGTGCTAATCTTATAAACAATACTTATAATAATAGTAGAGGTATCTCAATTTCTAATAATAAATAGAATCCATTTTGCAAGTTGGTCCACACCACATTATCTTTTGGGGAGAAGTCTAAATCTGAAAACCCTAACATGGGATTTATAAGAAGAGATTCAGATGACATGCTTCCGACAATGATACCCATAAAGACAATTCACCCTCACTCATTTAAAATAGAAAGAGTGTCAGATGACATAATTCCAACTCAAAAATTCTAAGATCTTTACCAAAAGAAGGACATGGAATGGGTGCTAATGCTATCAAATGAACTCAAATAAAGAGAACCTTAAGAGTATGCGATGCATCTCTTGTCGATAATAGAGTCATGGCTAGAAAGAGGCAAGCCAAAGCTAGATCCAAAGGAGTTTAGGTCTCTGTATATAAAAAAGAATCCATAAGATATCAACAGTTGCAAGAATATAAGGGGCGGATCAAGCATGATGAGCAACTCCAAAAAACTAACAGTCTTGAATATAGGATAGCAAATGACTTAGATGATGTTTGAAGAAAAGGAGGAGTCTATGATGACTAATGATATAATAGGATTGTCCTTTTATCAGGTTTCAGAGGCTTACAGGAAAAAGTTCCTCACGCTTTACTCTCATTTCTAGTTCGAACATTTCCCAATCAGAAAAATCCTGAATGAATACCGATAGTGGCTTGAAGACTTTATCAAAGAAAAGTAGAACTCGATTAAGCAAGCAGCTAGAATGTTTTAGAAAGAAAACACTGCAGAGTACATGAAGGAGCAAATTTAGAGGCTGCTTGAGGTGCTGATCCTGCAGATTAAGGATTTTGTAGGTATAATATCTAGGGCGACAGTTTTGTTTTACCAGTTGGATGTTTAAGCGGGTGAAATTACCGAGGTATGCCTGTATAATCTTCTGACATCCCTCACTCTCAAGAATCCTATCTATTCTAAGTTATATGAACTCTTCAAAACTGCACATAGAGATTAGCTCGAGTAAATTGAGATCCAGATTGAAAGAGTGTAGGCTTAGAGATGGGACTTAGGTAGAGTGCTAGGCATAGATGATATTGAGATCGGAAGAAAAATGATAATTAAGAAAAATAAATAGAGTGTTATTGAAGAAGCTGATTAAGCTTAAGAAGATGGATCATCTTAATTTAGTGAGTACAATTAAGTAGAAAACTAGAAAGCAAAAGAAGTCTTTGAAAGGACTTTGCAGAAGCTATTTGCAGTTCGAAGTATTTCCTCTCCCTCAGCTAAAATCGAATACTTTTCGAAAATTTTCGCAGAAGTGATGCCTGATGAAGGGCAATATGCTGCAGACTATGTTCTTAATTTTCTGATATATTCTCTAGTCAGACTCGGAAAGAAAAGCTCACTCCTCTTTGTCGAGTCTGTGTACATTAAATCATTTGCTCATGAGGAGATTCAAGATAAAATTGATGAGTATCAAAACATTTCTTAAATTGACTCAGCTCTATAAGCTTTGATTGAGGGAATAGATTAGCATGTGAATAATTTATAACAAGGAATTGGAAGTAGAAGTGGGAGTTTGGCAAGCTATCAATTTGATTACTTTAGTAACTCCTCTGATAGAAAGAAAAGCGATAAGTCAAGTGAAGATAGCATTTCAAATGAATCTAAGAAGTTTAAACTGCAAAATACACTTTCTAAGAGTTCTCAATCCAGATAAAGAAAGAGTACCTTCTAAAATACATCCATTAATGAAAAATCCTTTATAACTGATAATAGCAGCATTAAAGATTAAGCTATTAATAATAACTTGAATGGCAAGTACATTAGAGCTGCATCTTCATAGAATTTGATACTAGAATTATCACCTCAGAAGATTGGTATATAATAAGTACAGAGAAGTGAAGTTTAACCAGAAATTAGTTAGGATAATAGCATGAAGAATAAGAGCGATGAAATGCTAGTCGCTTCTCCAGGTAACCTACCCAAAGCTAATTTGGTTGAAGATGACTAGGAGGAATTGAATCTTGATAGACATCATCTGGCTAATTTGAGAAAAGAGAGAGTCTCTCAATGGATCACTCATCTTAATTTTGATGAAGTCAGTAAAGAACCATAAGATTTGCAATCTGTGGCTCAAGGAGCTGTAGGGGAAGATTAAAACATAGTTAGAATGATTCAAAACATGGAGCTAATTGAAACTCAGAGCAAAAATATCAAAGAAAGAGAGAGAATGATTTTAACAACAACTGGGTCAATATTCAAAAAGATGATGGATAACTAAGATGGCTTAGATGATGATGAGCTCAATAAACTTGAGTCATTCAACGAAGATATCTTGAAATCTCTCATTCAAGGCCAGAAAAGATTCGTCACTGAGGTTAATAAAAGTCAAATGCATTGAGAACTTTAATGCAAAATCTGGCCTAAAAATCATCATCGAAATTTGTGATTATAGTAAGAATGGATGGTAGATAAGTCTCTTATAGGGGCTTGCTTTATCATTTCATCTAATTCTTAATACATACGAGGGTAGTATCTATCATCAATCCTTATATTCTATATGCTCTTATAAAGACTGTTAATTAATAAAGATTGACCAAATCTCTCTAGATTTAAGCTAATGGGGTTTTGGGGTTTTGGGGTTTTGGGGTTTTGGGG